GCCGTCCACCATTAATTCTTACTTGAATGAATGTAAAATCCTTTTGCATCCACATGGAACGTTAATATCTTGGCCATGGTTTCCAGCCCACTCATCTGAACAGCCTAACTTGGTTTCTGAGTCGGCCGTTTTGGTTTCTGAATCGGCCGTTTTGGTTTCTGAATCGGCTCTTTTGGTTTCTGAATCGGCTCTTTTGGTTTCTGAATCGGCCGACTTGGTTTCTGAATCGGCAGTTTTGGTTTCTGAATCGGCTGTTTTGGTTTCTGAATCGGCACGATTTTGGTTTCTGAATCGGCCAGTTTGGTTTCCGAATCGGCCAGTTTGGTTTCTGAATCGGCCGTTTTGGTTTCTGAATCGGCCGTTTTGGTTTCTGAATCGGACTGTTTTGGTTTCTGAATCGTAGTTGCTGAATCGGCCATTTTGGTTTCTGAATCGTAGTTGCTGAATCGGCTGTTTTGGTTTCTGAATCGTAGTTGCCTGATCGGTTAGTTTCTGAATCGGCTAATGACCCATGTCAATGGATAGGGGATACAGCATGAGCATCACTGTAAATCTCCACCGGTCCTGTGTGTTTGGCACTTCCTCTTTGAATCATGAGGTATTGGTCATTTTGCTTGACGAAACCTAGTGTACCACGGACGTCAGTTATTCAGTTTCTGCCTTTGGTTCCTGTGGCGGCTGTGGCTGACGGGGCCTCCTCTCCCGATCACCGGATCCGCCTGGTCGAACCATAAGGACCTGAACTTCTCCTTCTCGATCCACACCTCTTCAGCGGTCGATGTCTGGAACTGCACTCCCGAAAACGGCCTTTCTCCCGAAAATCTTGCATGTTCGTTCATCCGAATTGTAGTGGGATCAATTTGGATTCTCCAGAGCAAGCTCCTTGGGTGTCAAAGAAACATCTGGCTACAACAAGCACTACATTGACTGGTTGCATCCTTTTGAGCTTCGGGATTGAAAAAGCCCTTCAACGCCCTCGAACACCGAAAATGAGACTGTCTTGGCGATGGCACGGGCACCTTCAAGTGCATGTGCGCCACATTCTGGAAGTTCCCAGCATTCAAATGCATCTCTTCCTGAGACCCATGAGGACCCCATGACGTCCACGGTTTCGGGGTCCACGGATCGCTCCAGACGGCGAAGGATCGGTCGTTTGGCCCAAACAGTGGCATTGTGCGAGTATTCACGGCTTCCAGGCGTCGCTCCGGTTGCGGGAGGTGGGGAGTGGAAGCCGATGGTCCTTTAAAGACTTCTTCAGGAAGGGGTTGCAGGCTTTGATGTTATGTGGTTAATCCATCAAACCAAACTCTCAACAAACATCTGTGCTGAAGATGCCCTCCAAAGCAGACAGAGAGCTTCCTTCATTGGGGTAACACCTCTTCCCCCACTAAATTTCACACCAAAAACGGAGATGAATAGACTGGTTCCCCCCAAAAGGGTTGACTACTGGATGAACATCGCTTTCGACCGCAGCGATGTAGAAGAACAAACGCACACACACAATGTTTTTAACGGCTCAGTCCAAACCCAAGTGACAAAGCCGCCGTGGTGGCCCGCCAGCAACACCGCAGACCTCCAAAGCTCGGCGAGTTCCACATCATCCAGCTCGGCCTACGTACGACCCGCCGACGGGCCAGGATTTCGGGTGGCGGCTGGAAAGACCGAAGAACACCACTGGACCTCGGGACTCAACAGCATGGGAAAACCACATGGAGTCAAGTCCATCAAGCAGCATGGGAAGTGAGATATGAAGTGAATGATCCACGTATTCATGGAAAAGAGGAGCCTCCCAATCTACTATCCACTCAAGAGGCTTTTCCACTTCCTTTTGTTTTGTCCTTCAGACTGTACTTCTTCTACGAGAACCACCTGAAATGAAGGAACACAGCAAGGTGCGAAGTCGGTGGAACAAGTCTGGACAGGTCATCCACTGGAGGAAACCAGTATAGTCATGTATAGTCCATATCCATATATCCATATTCAGCAATATCATCGAGTAAGGTCCTCTTCATCGATGCAATATCATCATCTAAGTGATCATCCACTCAGGGTCGTCATGCGATGGTGAAGGTGGGTCATGGCACCCGGACACCCGACGGTGTTGTCGAACAAGAGAGACGGACTACCGAGGTCAACCCTACCAGGGTGAGTTCGGCACCCGGGTGTGGTGACCCACAGCCATCTGATCCAAGGAACTTGTCCACTGAAAAAGAAGCATCGCCACTGGGAACAAAGGGCATCGCTACGAACGGAGCGATCGGACGCTACGATCGGGGCTCCTGGCCTTCCTACTAGCAACAAGGACGCTATTAGGAACGAAGGGCATCGCTACTAGGAGCAAGGACGCGACTGGGGGCTCCTGGCTTTACTACTAGTAACAAGACGCTACTTTCAGGACCCCCTCCTCCCCTTGGCCGCCCTCGCCTGCCGTCGCACCACCTCATCCTTCGCGGCCGCGCGGCGCGCGCTGGGGGCATCTGGCGCCAGCACCAGCACATAGCCTCTGACGCTATCGTTTGGTCTGTTTGGTTGGGTGGTCAGCTGTTGAACGACCAATCGGTTGTGGGGCGTGATCGATGCGATCTCTGCAATCTAAACCTCCCAGGTCCCCAGACCCTCACCAAAGAACGGCGAACCACCTCCTCAGAAAAACCACCCCACCGAACAACCCACGGTTCCAAAGCGACGTTTCTGGTCATCCGATGGTTCCCGTCCAAGCGTCAGGAACGGCCCTGGAAGTCCAAGTTGCCACGGATGAGGCTCTCGGGCTCCTGAAGACCGAGACCGTCTCGGGTCCGGGTGTTGGTGAGTGCGGTGCTCTGCGCTGCGGTGCTTCTGGTCACATCGGGGCACAAGGTTGGGGTGGTGGTGATGTGGCTCGTCCCGATGTGAAAATCGGTACCCCGGATGGAACTGCTGGTGGTTCTCTCTGGATTTGACTGAAAGGTGGTTGCGAGTGAAGCAACTCAAGGGTGCTTTCCTCTAGACTCTCAGACTCTAGGCTTTCCTGTGCACAAATAAAACCCCGCACAATTCGATGGACGTCCACTAGCAACCAACCACGTAGGCGTTTGGTTTCCATCCAATCCATGCCCGATCTTGTTCGAACACCAAATGGAGCGGCTCGTTTGGATCCTCCAGCGGCTCCTGCCCGTGGATCAGAACGCTTCGCAAGGTCAAGTCAGGAACCTCCACCTGCGTGACCGACGAATCGAAAAAACCAACTGCCCGGTGGGTTCCCCAGCCGCGTTTCAGAGGTGACCACAGCTGGTCGCAGGGTCGATGTGGCCTTTTCTTCCGGTCTCCTTGTCACTTACGGATCACACCACAATCAGATCGGCTCATGTTCAGCACTTACGATGTAGTCCCCGAGCCGTCACAAAGAGCTTCAGAAACCCACGCGAGGAAGCTCGCTCGGCTCGTGTGGGCTTCGGTTGTCCAAGAGAAAACCGATTGAGAACCAGCCGTGGTAACTGCTCCACAGGATTTGCCCCGGAATCCCATGGAACAAGTTGGATGCTCACGGCAGTTGTGGGAGGCCCACAATGGGCCTTGCAGGTCCAGAAGCGGGGTGAAACACACATTTGGTGACCATCCCTTCATTTGGGTTGACTCGCAATGGATGTTCATCCAAAGAGCCGAAGAACGAGCCCTCACTTTGTGTCTCGCGTCTCTTCATTCCGAAGAAGAACAGTCTAGCTGAGCCAGTCTCGGTGCCTTTGACTTGATCGCAGTCGACATGTTCAGGTGATGTATGGCGAAACTCTCAGGAAGTGAAGTGGTCAAATTCCATCACCTCCCGAGATTTCGCCATGCATCAAATACAGTACTGTATCACCCATGGTCCTCTTTTTGCCCTTGTAGAACCACTGCTGGCACGTCATCCAACAACTTCACAGTTTCCCTCCCTTGCCGGCCCTGCTGGCATGTGCCCACGGCCACACAGCAGCTGATGACATTGGGCTGAACTTTTGTCTTGGGCATGGTTTGAAACAACTTTAAGGCTTCCTGCCATTGCCTGGCCTTCTCGCATGTACCCATGGCCTCATTATAGATGATTACATTAGGATGAACTTTGCCTCTACACATGCGCTTAAAGAACTTCAATGCATCTTGCCACTGGAACCCATGCCTACAGGCGCAAATGACCGCAGTATAGCTGATGACATCTGGTTTAACTTCTGTCTCGGGCAGGGACCCAAACAACATCAATGTTTCCAACCACTGCATGCCCTTCTCACAGGCACTCATCGCTGCGTTGTAGCTAATGATATCCGATTGAACTTTGGTCTTGGGCATGGCCTCCAATAATTTCAATGCTTCCTGTCCTTGTCTCACTTTTTCACATGCACTGATGATCGCATTGTAGCTGATGACATTTGATTGAACTTTGGCTTTGGCCATGGCCTCAAACAACCTCAATGCTTGGCGCCATTGCCCGCCCTTCTCACAGGCACTTATTGCGGCACTGTAGCTGACAACATTGGGCTGAACCTTTGTCCTTTGCATGGTGTCCAGCAACATCAATGCTTGCTCCCAGTGCCCGCCCTTCTCACAAGCACTGATGGCTACACTGTAGCTGATGACGTTAGGCTGGATTTTAGCTTTGGGAATGGCTTCAAACAACCTCAAGGCTTCCAAAACACACCCACCCTTCTCACAGGCACTGGTGGCTGCATTGTAGCTGACAACATTTGGCCGAACTTTAGTGTTAGGCATGGCGCCAAGCAAAATTAAGGCCCTGAGCCATTGCATGCCTTTCTCACAGGCACTCATAGCTGCACTATAGCTGACCACATTCGGTTGAATTTCAGCCTCTGGCATGGTATCAAGTAACATGAGTGCTTGTTGCCACTGCTTCCCCTTCTCACAAGCACTGATGGCTGCACTGTAGCTGACAACACTCTGTTGAACTTTTGCCCTGCACATGGCCCCAAACAGTATTATTGCTTCCAGCCATTGCCCGCCCTTCTCACAGGCAGTGATGACGGCATTGTAGCTGATTCGATCCTGTTGCAAGTCGGCGACGAGCATGGCCTCGAACAACGTCAATGCTTCCTGCCATTGCCCTACCCGTCCGCAAGCACTTATGACCGCATTATAGCTAATCAATGTATGGAACACATTTGCAGTGGGCATTGCCTGAAACATTTTCAAGGCTGCTTGCCATTGCCCGCCCTTCTCAAAGGCACTAATAGCTGCATTGTAGCTGATGACATCTGGTTGGAGTTGGCTGTCAAGCAGTGCTTGAAACAACTGGAAGGCTTCCAGCCACTTGCCCCCCTTCTCACAGGCACTAATCGTCGCGTTGTAGCTAATGACGTCGCTTGAAACTGCAGCCTGCGGCATGGACTTCAACAACCTCAAAGCTTCCAGCCATTGCTCGCCCTTCTCACAGGCGGTGATGACGGCGTTGTACGTGATGATATTTGCTTGAACTCTGGACTTGGGCATGGCCTCCAAGAGCTCTAAAGCTCCTTGCCATGATTTCGACCTGCCACATGCCATGATTCTCAGGGTGCACTCCGCACTTTGGCGCCTGCTAGGCGCCGCCATCTGGCTTTGTGCCGTGGACCGTCGCAGGGCAGCGTCGCTGCCGTGCTCGGCGATGGACACGGGGCGAGACGCGCGAGGCTCGGTGCAGAGCTTCAGCTCTGGGGATCTGGACTTGGCCGTCTCAATCTCGAGGCGCCAACGCGTGGAATCGATGGCCGCGGCAGTCTCCCGCTTCCACGTCGTGTGAAGCTAAGTCTCGGCGGGGTTTGGCCGGAGAGGTCCACGTCGGTGTCGGTCTGAAGGGAAGACATTGGAAGCTGTTGAAAACACCAATGGCCAACGGAAAAGGGAAGACGTTGTTTGTCAATCAAGAGTCTGCCATAAGAACTCACCAAGGAGAGATCTTTCTTGATGAACTGACCTGGCTTGCTGGCTTGCCCCTGGTTGCGGGGTGGTCCACAGACACCCCGGACCAACCGCATAAAGGGACGATGAATCGACCCCCCCCCTTAGAGGACATGCATGACTGACAAGCAAACTTCGAAGCGATTCATGAATCAAGAGCGAAGATCAGGAAGGCATTCTGACTTCTTTCCGACCGGTCCACCGCCGAAAACGAAGTAGGTGACCCCACCTTCCACAAAGAAGACACCTCCCCAACAAGAAGAGAACACAAACAAGATCCCCTGTCACATGGATGGCCTTGGCTGCCGATGTGCTAGTCATCTACCTAGTTCTCCCAAAAACGAAGCAACTTCTTGAGGATTGGCTTTGGATTCCTTCGGATCTTGGTCTCGAACACTCAAAAAAGGACCTCGTCTTTCTCAGGAAGATGCAGATCTTGCTCCCCGTCAACTTCTTTTGGGGATTTCGGTTTCCTCAGTATGAGTGCTGACAGCCCAAATTGAATTTTAATGTCAGACATTTTTTCTTTCTAGAGCATACTTGTATTACTTGGATTTAAGGAACTGGGACAAACCATCCCAGAAGGGGATTCATTCTTAGGGGGACAATACAAAATCACCTGATCCGCAAAGCCAGGAGCAATTGGGTTGCTTGGAACTGCAGGCAAGGGACCTGTGCTCGTACATCTGTTCTATATGTACAGCCCTTTTCCGGCTCACGGTCGTTCTTCTTCCGAACTTCTTTGGGGCAAACATGCAACTCCGGGGTCACTGGCGACAAACACGGCGCGGTCCCGGCTGGAGACATCAGGATCGATCTGCAGTGGTCTCAGTCGTCAAAAGGCCCCAACCGCGTCCTTGGACATGGTTCTTCTTAGTAAGTCCACCCCAAAAGACACACATCACACTTCGAAGCCCCAAAGTTCCCAAATCATCAGGATTCCACGACCCAAAACGACCGATCTTCCTAACAACAACAAAGTCACACACACCCAACGACCGATTTCCTCGGTGGGACCCACCTCGCCTTTTCGCGTCGCTTTTCGGTGGTCCGGTCCCTGCAAACCCATGTGGACGGTGGATGAATGAAGCTCCCCTGTTGGAAGACAGGTGTCTTTGAAGAAAAACAACCTAATTTTCATAACATTTCATCGATTTTTCTGAAGAAAACGACACACCTAAAGAGGTGAACCATCAGATTTCATCCTATTTCATTCACCGGAGAAAGATCTTCACATCGATGTCTGGCACCGGCCGACGACCCAACTGCCGATGGGCTGGCCGAAACTGAGGGGCGACAGGCGGAGGGTCCAAGTCAATTTGCTTCGGACACGACATGGCTCCGGCGTGGAGATACCAATGGTCAACGAGCTGCCGAGACGGGAGCAAAAATAGGTCTGACATGACGACATGACGTCGCACGGATCTTTGGTACACCAACGGATCAACTGATATGCCTCCTTTGTGTCGACCGGGTCAATTCAGTAACTACTGGGTTGATACAACCGACAAAAAGGAGGCATAAGAGGTCGAAAAGGGGCTCATTCTTAGGGCAAATTGCTCACAGCTGCCTCTTTGGAAGCCCAAACCGATGAGGGGATTCAACGGGTCGTATCTGAATTTGACAAGATGTCCTCATCTGTCTTGGCTTCCAACAAACCATCCCGCTTTGCGAAATGCTGTGGTGTGCAGGCTTCGTACGAGACGCATCACATGCTGAAAGCTTGCTTCAACACAAATCTGCTGGCCTCGGGCATCGCCTCGAAGACACTGGCAGCCTCCCCCAAGTGGTTACCCTCCTCAAATGCCCTGATGGCTGCACCATAGCTGATGACATCTGGCTGAACTCGAGACTTGGACATGGCTTCAAACAAAGTCAAGACCTCCTGCCATCGCATGCTTTTCAAACAAACACTAAAGGCAGAGTTGAAGCTGATGACATTTGGCTGAACCGTCCCGACCAAGACCATTGAATCCAACAAAGCCACTGCTTGCCGCCATTGAATGCCTTTCTCACAGGCACTGATTGCTGCACTGTAGCTAACAACATTTAGCTGAACTTTTGCCTTGCATGCAGCCTCAAACAACATCAACGCTTCTTGCCATTGCCCGCCCTTCTCGCAGGCACTGACCGCAGCATTGTAGCTTATGACATCAGGCAAAACTTTGTGTGCAGGCATGGCCTCAAGCAGTTGCAGTGCTTCTTGCCATTGTCCGGCCTTCTCACAGGCACTCATTGTGCTGTTGTAGCTGATAACATTTGGGTAAACTTTGGCCTTGGACATGGCCTCAAAC